ACTCTCTCATTCCTTGACCTAGTGTCTAGGATATTTGGTATTTTGTTATCTTGCTTTACGTATTGTTAATTGGATGCAGGCCATTCTTCGGCTTTGGCTTTCTCTCTTTTATCTTTATTTTTTTTTTTAACTTTTCTTGACTGAGGGTCAATCTGGGAACTTTGTCCTGCCTCTGGATACTTGACACTCTATATCAGGGGTGTCCAAACTTTTTTCAAAGAGGGCCAGATTGGATGAAGTGAACATGGTGGAGGGGCCGAACATTTTTCCGAACATTCTTTGAACCATTACAATTAAATGCAAATAAATTATTTTATGCCAAGTTAATTGCAAACGACATACTTTTCATTTCATAACATTAAGATCAACTGACAGCTGAGTTTTCACAATGTATTGAAAATAAATTTTAAAAAAAACTTACCTGCACTAATGTGAAGGGTGAAAAAGGTAGCTGGAGCTGAAGTCTCTGCTCGGCAGCCGGGAGGGGAAGAGAAACACACTTCATGCTGGAAGCCCGGCCCTGACGTCACCGCCCTCTGTCACGCATGCGCACTGCTCTCGAGCAGAAGACTGTCTGCCACAGAAGGGAGGGCCGTGCGACAGCCGCATTTACACAGACCAGGGAGAACGCACCGCAGTCAGGCATGCGCACTGCTCTCAAGCAGAAGACTGTCTGCCATAGAAGGGAGGGCCACATTACACAGAGCAGGGAGGGCTGTTGGAGGGCCGTATTAAACCGACCCCCGGGCCGTAAATGGCCTGCGGGCCGGACTTTGGACATGCCTGCTCTATATGGATGGGAGGGTTTGTCTGATAGTGACATCACCACTTGCTTCCCATGTCTACCTAAAAACAATGCTCTGCTTTGATCTGCTTGCTCTCTCAGAACATCCAAGGGCTGGGCTCCCTTTCTAAGCGACTCAAAATATTATCCCATTAGAATTCTCTGGGTGCCGATGTAGTGGCCTTACAGGAAACACATTTTGCCCCTTCCTTTACTCCCAGATATATTCATAGGGATTTTGACTTGTTTTTTTTGCTAATGCCTCCAAAAAAGAGGGGTGGCGCTCTGCTTTTCTAATTGGCTATTATTTACTGAAACTAAAGTTTTAAGGGATAGGATGGGATGATACCTTCTGGTGAAAGGTCATTTAGAGGGTAATATGGTGTGTTTTCTTATTTACTATGCCCCAATATGAACAAGGTGGCCTTTTTCCATTCTCTTTTCAAGTCTCTGTTTAAAGAACTAGACGAAAATGTGATTTTGGCAGGGGACTCAAATCTGGCTTTAGACCTTATACTCGATAAATCCCATGTAATCAAACTTAAATTGCCTTCTAAATGAAGCTGCGATTTCGTTCGGCTTTTATATCGCCATGACCTAATTGACATGTGGAGGGAGGCCAATCCCACCTGTAGAGATTACTCCCACTTTTCAAGGGCTCATAGTCACTATTCTCATATAGACCATGTTTTCCTCCCCTTGGACATGATCGCTAAGTTACATTCAGCTAAAATTATATCAACACTTTGGTCGAACCACGACCCTGTACTTTTAACGCTCTCTAATTTGACGGTTAAAATGGTTAAACCACACTGGCAATTAAACGAGTCCTTACTAAGTGATGAAGCCTGTTTCTTGGAAGTGGGTGAACATCTGAAGTCCTATTTTGCAATTAACAAAGCGGAGAATACGAATCCCTCCATTAATTGGGGCAACCCATAAAGACTCTGTTCGCAGGATTTTTTAATCTACCAAATCTAGAGAATATGAATTGTTGGCTGCCCAACATAAAATTGCCCCAACCTTGGATCTTTTATCAAAGGTGGAACACGCCCGGCTGGAGCTTAACCTTTGCCTCACCACAAAGGCGGAAAAAACAACTGCGTTGGATGATTCATAAATAATTCATATGGTTACGATCACGCAGGATCCTCAGAAGATCAGGATTTTTATGCTTCTCTATATGGTCCAACGTGGCCAACAGAACCCTCTTCTATTCGATCCTTCCTATAGTCCATGCCTATCCCTTACCTTACTGACGCCCATAAAGAGCTTATGGAACAAGCCATTACTTCTGAGGAGCTCCTAAAAGCTATTAAATTGCTACCGTTGCATAAATCCCAGGGCCCTGACGGCCCTCCCCAACCAGTACTACAAAGCATTTTGTGAACATTTTACTTCCTCATATGACACTGTACTTTAATTCATTGCAAGAGGAGGAAGGTGTGCTCCCTTTTAGATGAGAAAAAGGGATATATTCGTGTAATTCCTAAACCCAATAAAGATTCCACTGATGTTCATAATTATTGTATTTCCTTAATTGCAACCTGAAATTCTAGCTGTATGCCTTAATTCCTTTCTGGCACAATATATTCATAAAGATCAGTCGGGATCTGTATTGGGTCGTCAAATGTTGAACCAGATTCATAGACTTATTACTCTGTCAGCTGCCCGTTTCGATTGGGATGCTCCTCTCTCTAGGACGCTTATACTTCTTTATCTGGACCTTCATAAGGCCTTCGATAGTCTGACGTGGGAATATTTATTTACTACCCTGAAGGCATTTTGGCTTTGGCCTGACATTTCTTGCTCTGTTACATTTGCTATATGCTAATCCCTCGGCCCAGGTCACCATCAAAGGCTACAAATCCTCAGTGTTTCCAATCCGCAGAGGGTGTCCACGTTCCCCGCTGATTTTTGTGCTGTCAATTGAACCCTTGGCTATGGCAATTCAGTCTCATCCCCAAATCCATGGCATTCGTTGCGGACAACAGGAACATACATGTGCCCTATTTGCCGATGATGTTCTTATGTATATTACTTCTCATTTGATAATTATTCCAAATTTACTGTCATTTATTACACCAATTCTCCGCTCTTTCCGGGCTTTCCCTTCCCAAAAAATGTCTGCCCTTAATGTTTCCTTACCCATATCTGAAGAACGGCAGCTTAGAATTTCCTACGATTTTCAGTGGGCGAATAAATCTTTACCCTACTTATACCTTACCAATTCCATTGAGATACTTTATCAGGCTAATTACCCTCCCCTCTTTTAAACGCTTAAGGGAGATCTCCATCATTGTGCTGACTATTCCTTGTCCTGGTTTGGTAGTCTACTCAATCAAAATGACATTTCTGCCTCAACTACTATATTACTTCCAGACCTTACCGATTAGAGATTCTGCGATGAGACTTACTACTTCTACAAACTGAAGTTCTTAATCTTATTTGGAATAATAGACGGCTTGAATTACGTTATATGCTTCTAGATCGCGGGGTGGTATTGGCCTTCCTAATCTCCACTTGTACTTCCAGGCTGCACAGGTCGCCCAATTAGCTTATACCACTGTTTGGGGACATACTCCCCATTGGGTTTCTGTAGAAGCTCTTTCCTGTCACCCTTTAGCTAATGGGGCGTTACTTTGGCTTCCTAGTCTATTACGTCCTCCTATATTGTGCCCCATTTTGACGTTCTCCTTGGCAGTTTAGGACAGGGTATGCCACTGCAAGTCACTAGCATCACCACATACGCCTATTGCTCCTATTTTTAGCAACCCTGAATTTGTGCCTGGATTAACACCGGCCCCTTTCCAATGGTGGATCAATATTTTAAAGACAAGTTACATATGACTACTACTGAAATCTTTAGATACAACCAGATTGTCTGTCTCATTTCTCCACTCGAAGCTCGCTGTATTGGATGAGTCACCTTTGCTCACCGCCTTTGAACTGTCTTGCAGGAATAGGGATTCCCCAAGAGGCTGGGTCTCTGCAATATATGCTCTCCTCAGTGACCCATGTTGTAAACTCCCTTACATGGAACACTGGGAAAAAGATTTAGCTGTCAAATATGAATTATCGGATTGGCAAGATATCATCTTGGAACTGTCCAAAATTTTTATCAATACTACTTTCATTGAAGCTAATTAGAAAAAACATTGTTGAGATGGTATCTGGTACCTACCAGGATTGTAAAGATGCATCTGTCTGCCTCTGCGATGTGTTTCCGGCTTTGTGGCCAGGTTGGGTCTATGTTTCACATCTGGTGGCAGTGCCCACTTGTAACTAGATTTTGGATTTGAATGTTCAATTTGGTAAACTCAGTGATGGGTATTATATTCGCAAATCCTCAGATGGCGCTCTTTCACAAATTCCCAGATAATGTTCCCAAGAAATCCCATAAATTGATTTCCTATAGGATTCAGGCAGCGAGAATTACTATATCTAGACACTTGAGGCAATCGGTCACTTCACTTGATTATGTTAAAAAGAAACTTAACTGGATCAGGATTAACGACAAACTCACTTGTATCCTTCACAATAACTCGAAGAAATTTGATAATACATGGAACCCGTGGATCCAATACCTTTCTGTGCCTTAATGACCCTCATCTGGATTTTCTTTTCTACTCTTTCCTTTGTTCTTTTTACTCTTTTTGTACCGCTCTGCATTGTATATTCTATGTTGACAAGGCGAGATATACTTGACCTCGAATTGGCCGCGATTTATGTCTTAACTGCCAATCGTTGCGGCAGAATTTTGTTGTTTAGGTGTTTCTATCTGTATATAAGATGGAACATTGCTCATTGATATTGCTTGTTTTACTTTTGTTTTTTTCCTTTTGTAAAACTATTCAATAAAAATCATTGAAAAGTAAAGATGTAGGTGCTTGGTTTCTGCACTCCACTTTATCCCTCCATTCTACTTTCAAAATGTTGCAGTCTGCTCAAGACCTGCTCGAAGGAAACCGCTAGAAACATTTTTAAAAAAATATATTTTTAGATATATTGTGTGAATTGGAAAACATATCCAACATATAGTAGAGTTTTCTTGAATTTGGCTGCAAAAGTGAAAATATAATTGTGTTTTTTTAAATCGGGATAAATTGGGATACTATAAAATCGTAATTTTTTTTTATTTTAAACCTGTTGTTTGAAACTTCAAAGGAGTACTGATGAAAAAAACTCACATCTTCCATTCTTCCTCTCTGACCAGAGCGAGATGCGTTTGACACTCTATTTGATCACGCCCCTGATAAACTAAGCGTTGTTAAAAAGGTAAAGAACTCCTCTTCCTTCTATGACTACACTGTGCTCCTCTAAAATAAAAGCATAGGTTGAACGGTTGTTTGCTTGATTGTTTTGCAGTCGCTGATCACTTTTGTGAATAAACATCTGAACAAGCTAAACCTGGAGGTGACGGAGCTGGAGAGTCAGGTAAATTGGGGCAGACAGTGCTACACAAGGGTTGTTACTTCTCATAATAAAAGTCAATGACTAGGCTGATCCACTGAAACCAAGATACTCCTTGTGTTGCACATGGCTTAACAGTAATGAATCACTCGGTGTAATTGCACTGAGCCATTGAGAGCTCCCCTTGTGGCTACTCTACATATCTCTATAGTTAATACAAGAATATAGAACACATTTTTAAATAATGGTTCATTTTAAAAAACAAAGTGAAATGGCAAGAATGACTCATTATATGCATGCACAGAAAATACACTATACTTCCCTTTTAATCCTATCTTTAAAACACCTTGAAAAAATAGAATGAATATATTTTATGTTTTATTACTTTTGCATCTTGTTTTATACTTTCTGTTCTGTCAGTTTGCAGATGGAGTTTACCTGGTCCTTTTGATGGGTCTTCTGGAGAACTATTTTGTCCCTCTGCACAACTTCTATCTGACACCAGAGGGATTCGAGCAAAAGGTAAGTTTATAGTATGAAACACATACATAGGCCTACATATATGAATAATATCCAACAATGCAGCGCTCCGATAGAATGATCCATAAAATTCATCACATAAAAATAAGTGCTTCAATGTATAACGTATTTATAAACGCATGCGAAATGAGCTAATGCTCAGTTCAGTATAGAAATTAGTTATCTTAGAATCCTAAGAAGTGTCACATAAGGGTGCAAGTCTGCGTCTAAAGATGCCAAATGGTGTATTAGTGACATATAAATCTTCAAAGATGTGCAGATCAGTGCATGTGGGAAAGAGAGTAAGTTGCACTAACCAGACAGTGCAAATTATAGCGCTTTTGAGTAATCAAGACCACTCCTGGTCATCATCATCCTGGAATGTATGGAACACCTCTGGCAACAGGTCTGCACACAGCCTTTCCTCAACTGACACTCTCCGGATCACGGGGAAGATTCGCTTCACTTTTACGAACCCAATGGTAAGCACTTAAAAGGGATCCACCTTCGTGGCTCAAAATGAATGAGCCAGAGAAGAAAGTGCTATATAGTGCAGTAAGTTTATTGAATCATCAAAAGAACCATAAATATGAACAAAGTTTTGAAAATGTGCACGAAATGCATTAGGGAGGAGCCTAAGCCAGTGACACTAGATTGCCTGAGCCACGAGGGAGGCTGGCGGCCATCTTGGATCTATGTTTTGCATTCCTGTACACCATAGCTGCATTCTTATGGTCCAGATGTGAGTTCACTTTGTTCATATTTATGGTTCTTTTAATGATTCAATAAACTTACTGCACTATATAGCACTTTCTTCTCTGGCTCGTTCATTTTGAGCCACTAAGGTAGATCCCTTGTAAGTGCTTACCATTGGGTGCGTAAAAGTGAAGTGAATCTTCCCCGTGATCCGGAGAGTGTCAGTGGAGGAGAGGCTGTGTGGAGACCTGTTGCCAGAGGTGTTCCATACATTTCAGGATGATGATGACGACCAGGAGTGGTCTTGATTACTCAAAAGCGCTATAATTTGCGCTGTCTGGTTAGTGCAACTTACTCTTTCCCACATGCACCTTATGCACGGATCTGCACCTCTTTGAAGATTTATATGTCACTAATACACCATTTGGCATCTTTAGATGCAGACTTGCACCCTTATGTGACACTTATTCGGATTCTAATAACTTTTCTATGTGGTTTCATACTGGACTGAGCATTAGCTTGTTTCGCATGCGTTTACAAATACGTTATACATTGATGCACTTATTTTTATGTGATGAATTTTATGGATCATTTTGAGCGCTGCATAGTTGGATATTGTTTGAGGGTTGGAGGTTTAACCTTTTTATGCCAGCTGCTATTTATACGTTTCTAGCACTCGTTTACCATTTCTATCTACATATATGAATGTGTGTAGAATTCTATAGATACAGTATGTGGATACTTATTTATAGACTGATAGATGATAGGAATATCTATATTTTATATTTAGAAATCTTGATAGAGGGAGAAAGTAGAGATATTGACAGTGGGGAGATGGCTATTAATAGAGATTGATTGATATCGGTAGAGGGCTGATTCACACCAAATGCAGTGTGGGGAAGGCACGTTCCATGATCATTCCCTACACTGCAGGAGAATGCACTGCCCTTGTGAGAGCTTGCGGGTGCCAATGAATTGTTAATGGCACCCCAAACAGATCTTGCAAATGCAGCTCATTTGTGGGCACAAATCACATGGTACCGCAGTACCGTGCAGTTTGACGCAGTGTGTTCTGAAAAAGTAGTGCTTGCACTACTTTTCCTCATTGCAGTGTGTTTTGTAGCCTATTCTAATAAATTGCCTGCAAAACCAGACCACAAGGGAACACACGTGTTGTTGTTATCTGGCCCCAATAGGGGAGATGGGTATTGATGGAGGGGGGGAGATGGGTATTGAGGGGGAAGGTAGATATTGATATAGATGGACAAATATTGGTGAAGGGGGGAGGTAGATATTGATGGATTGATAAATATCAATCCGTATAGATCTGTGTAGATGTACATCTATATAAACATCTGTAAGTTTTTTTTTTTTTTTTTTTTTTTTTTTTTTCTGCAGGTTCACAATATTTCCTTTTCATTTGAACTGATGCAAGACGGTGGACTGAAGAAACCTAAAGCCAGACCAGAAGGTATAAAGTATTTTTATCTGTACACCCTATACTGTATAACAAACTTCTGTGCATAACAAGAGGGCAGCTGATAAGGATACAGACGTGACTCCACTGGGGTTAGTGGGTGATCTACAAAGTGTGCTTACCCCTATTAGCCAATGACCGGAAGTGGTGGGAATTGCAAAATTTTACAGTTGTCACCAGAACAGCAATAGAGGGAAAAATCATCCAATGGGGACACCTGTCACCTGTCTGTCACTTTGACAGAGATAACTGTCAAATGCGGGATTTCCCCTCACCTTTGTTTAGGGAAGAGAAAGTGTCAGGCAATCTCCCCAATGGGAAGCCAGAATGTTATCAAGCCTGACCTTCCTCTGGCAAAAACACTTTCCTAGTTTTGGATCAAGCAGAGTTCCACTTTAAACCATATGCACAAAAGCAGAACTATTATTGATGCACACAGCAGCCAATCATTCCCTTGAAAACATAAAAATCCACATGCATTGGGCATCAAGAAGTGGCTGTCCTCCAGAAACTGATGAAAAGCTGCACGGGGCCCAGTACATTTCTGTGTTCCTGACACCTGTCAGTGTTTTTTTGTCCCTGAGGTGCCTGTGCGCCTAGGAATAAAATTACGCCTTAAATTGGGGTTATTATACTGCCTTTGCACATTGCCTTGAGGTGAGGAGAATTATAAATCAGCGTGATAATGGACTCTGCTTCACAACAAAGCTTGACAAGTCAATTTCCAGCCTCCTTGAGAGTTACAAACATTACATTTAATACCATGGTGAGCTCGGATTGGCCCTTGCCTGTTACCATAGTTACGGCACTTTAAGTATTCCTTGCCTGTCAATACAAACTTTAAATCTTCCTCTAAACGTGGAGGTCAGTATTATAAAAATGTGGAGTTATTGATTAATTTGGTACCCAATTATAGGGTTTCTATTGATAAAATCTGGTATTATTATGCCTCAAGGCTCATTGGCTTCATCTGAGGTTTTAGATACAGCGTAGGCCAAAATCCCAGCTGCCTTAAGGCAAATATCATTTTTTTTTTTTTTTTTTGCAATTACACTTGGCTCTGGTATATTATAAATTCTAATTATGGGACAATGGCGCTAAGATTATTGATATTTTCTTTAGTGTGGATATATTGCTGCTGAAAGGTTTGAAACATGAAATAGGATTCAGAATGATACTCTGTGGAAGGATCCAGATTAATTTCTTATATACATTTCAGTAAATCAATAAGTATCACAGCCTCCATTTTTAATAAATTATAATTTAAAGAAAACGGTTATTGCTTTTTAATAAGGAGATATTGGAAATGACTAAATACAATGCATGTTTGTGAGATTCATTTTGCATTCCAGGGCTTGCAGTGCTGGGAAAAATAGTCCTTTCCTCCCCCATCCTGTCCTTCCTGCTGATTGACAGCACAGCTTATTCACAGCAGAGCTCTGGATGCTCCCATCCCATTAACCACCATGTCCGCATTGTAATATTTGGTGCATGTCAAACCTTGTAGCTTTTTTTTTTTTTTTTTTTCTGTGGCCATATGTTTGAAATGATTGCCAGAGCTGCATTAGCTACTGAACGTGTTTTAGGAGAATGCAGTGTAAGCCAATTTACACAGGACCCAGTTAACCTCCAGCATGTCTTTGGAGTGTGGGAGGAAACCAGAGTACCTGGAGGAACCCATGCAAGCACAGGGAGAAAATGCAAACTCCATTCAGATAGTGTCTCAGATTGGATTCAAGCAGTGGACCCCATTGCTAACCATTAAGGCACTCCTAGATTGTAAGCTCCAAGGAGCAGGGCCCTCCTATCCCTCTTTTATTGAACTGTATTGTTACGGTATTGTTTCCCCGTTATATTGTAAAGTGCTGAGCAACCTGTGGGCGCTATATAAATCCTGTTTAATAATATCAGGGTCGTCCCTAGGGTGGTGTCACCCAGTGTGGCAACGTGGTGTCACTCCTCCAGAGGTGGGCGGTCCCTATCGCACACACATAGCCTGGCTTTTCCCCTTCCTGTGTCCCCCGTCGCATCCCCCAGACCGGTGTTGCAAGATCATTTAACCCCGTATAGGTTGCAAGCCGACGATCCCCACAAGATGGATCGGATCTGCGAATTGGGGAGCATAATTAATCGGTCTGGGGGGTGCGACGGGGACACAGGGGGGGGAAGAGCCAGGCTGTGTATGCACGACAGGGACTGCTCACCTCTTGAGGGGTGACACCACATGTTACAGCAGATCCGATCCATCTTGCGGGGTCCGTCGGCACGCTTTAAAACTTCTTGGTGTCAGTGAGATAGGTGTCACCCGGTGCGGTGCACACCCACCTAGGGACGCCACTGGGCACTATGCTTGCATTTTTTTTTTTTTTTTATTTGGCTTCGGGCCTATTTAGACTTGTGTTGCAGTAACACACATTATCATAGTGATACTTAAAGCAGAATAGAACTCAAAAAACAAACAAAAGCCAACAGGCAGGATTTTAGGACAAGAGACCATATCTGTCTTTTCTGTCGCAAATGCTTCTCTCTGCTTGTCAGTGTTAATGTAGAAATAGCCGCACGTGTGCAGCTCCACGTACATTTATGGCACTCTGTACCGTCATGATGTGACTCCCATGTGCATGTAAATGAGTGATGTCATTGCGGTACAACCAGTGAAGCGGCCGAAGAGTCCTATTGTAGAAAGAAGACTGGGTGAAGATGGAAGTGCCTGAGGCCAGGGTGAAGATGGAAGTGCCTGTGGCCAGCGGGAATGCTGACAGTGCAGCGCTGAAGAGGATTGTGTAGCGAGTGTCTGCTGTAATGTGCTAATATTGTGTGCACACCAATGCATTAAGGTGAACACCTCCTGGGGGACCCATTTTCTTTAAAACATGCTAAGTTTAAATCACTTTAATTTTGAATAGCACCCCTTCACACTAAGCCCACACTCCTGCGTGACAAATCGTGGTGAATGGTAATGCACTACTGTGAGTTGTGGTACGCAGCTTTAGAAATAATAGTGCAAATCTGATTTTAGGCCAAATGAATGGGCTGCCCTAACGCAATGCACATTAATATGTGACATCAAGCATGTTTGGCACACCGCAAAGGACTAGATCCTAGTCTGAATAGGCCATTTGCTCAATTTGCTCATCTTACTGTTACATAGTAAAGCTTGCTTAAGGGGTGCCTTAACAGGCCTTGTGCCTAGAGGTCATTGGTCACAAAGTATTAGCAGTCTCCTAAAGGGAGCATATAATCTATGTGAACAAGCAGGTGCTACACCCAGGGATGATCCCCACGGAGGTGGAATGTCAGTGCTCCGGCTCTGTGTTTCTTCCCAGCACAAATAAAGCTGAATGGTGAGGATTAGTATAGATGGCACTCCTCTTCCCAAATAGTAAAGTTTATTGAGCGAGTAAAATGTGCATATAAAATGGCGTACGTGTTTTGGCAATAAGCCTTGGTCATAGCCATATGACTAAGGCTTATTGCCGAAACGCGTAAGCCATTTTCTATGCACATTTTACTCAATCAAAATGTATTATTCAGGAAAACGAGTGTTGGTTGTACCAGTCCTCATCATTCAGCGTATAATATATGTACAGTTTTAAATCTACCGTATTTGCCGGCGTATAAGACGACTTTTTACCCCTTGAAAATCTTCTCAAAAGTCGGGGTCATCTTATACGCCGGTATACGGCATACTGACATTTTTTAGGGGGGGCGGCGCGTTGCCGCCGCCGCCCCCCCCCTTCCCCCAATGGAAGGGACACTAAGTACAGGGGTGGGCAGCGGCTGTTTCTTACCTGGTCCCGGTCCCACGACGATCCGGTCCAGGAAGCGCGGCTGCGCCTTCAGTTCGGCCACTGGATGTTCGTGCGGCTGCTCGGCTCCGCCTCCTCACCAGTGATTGGCCGCCAGAACTGTAGCTCAGGAAAGGCACACAGGCGGCCAATCACCGGCGAGGGGGTGGAGCCGAGCGGCCCCGCGAAAATCGAGTGCAGGACCAGCAGGTAAGTGGTCAGTGTAGAGGTGCTGCTGCAACCACATATGCTGGCTGCAGCAGCACCATACGAGAACCGGGTCAGCAAGTGTCAGTGGGAGGAATAGTGCCCCATCATTGGTGTCACTGATACCAATGATGGAGCACTATTCCTCCCACTGATACCAATGATGGGCACTATTCCTCCCATTGACACTAACGATGGGGCACTATTCCTCCCCCCCACTGACACCAACGATGGGGCACTATTCCTCCCCCCCACTGACACCAACGATGGGGCACTATTCCTCCCCCCCCACTGACACCAACGATGGGGCACTATTCCTCCCCCCCCCCACTGACACCAACGATGGGGCACTATTCCCCCCCCCCACTGACACCAACGATGGGGCACTATTCCTCCCCCCCCACTGACACCAACGATGGGGCACTATTCCTCCCCCCCCCACTGACACCAACGATGGGGCACTATTCCTCCCCCCCCCACTGACACCAACGATGGGGCACTATTCCTCCCCCCCCACTGACACCAACGATGGGGCACTATTCCTCCCCCCCCACTGACACCAACGATGGGGCACTATTCCTCCCCCCCACTGACACCAACGATGGGGCACTATTCCTCCCCCCCACTGACACCAACGATGGGGCACTATTCCTCCCCCCCACTGACACCAACGATGGGGCACTATTCCTCCCCCCCCACTGACACCAACGATGGGGCACTATTCCTCCCCCCCACTGACACCAACGATGGGGCACTATTTCCTCCCCCCCCCACTGACACCAGCGATGGGGCACTATTCCTCCCCCCCCCACTGACACCAACGATGGGGCACTATTCCTCCCCCCCCCACTGACACCAACGATGGGGCACTATTCCTCCCCCCCCCACTGACACCAACGATGGGGCACTATTCCACCCCCCCCCCCACTGACACCAACGATGGGGCACTATTCCTCCCCCCCCCCACTGAC